CAACATCGAGTAATTCACTTGATATTTAGAGACGACTTTATCTGTCTAGTGGTGCTTTTCACGATTTTGATGTTGACACTGACAGTATCGCGTTCATCATTTAGGTTGGTAAGTTTAAGTCGTTAAATCTTGATGTTATAGTCAAGCCTTACAAGGTTTCTAATTCTAGTATTACAGGCCACTGTAGTGGTATTGGGCCATAACCACACAATCTTCAAAGCTGAACACAACACTACTTAGAAAGTAGATATTCAATATTTAACACGGAGAAATACCTAACGATGGAGAAGGCGCGAACAATGAATTAGATTAATTGGAATTGATCGAATGGCGTGGCTCGGCCATGCGGGCGTGGTCCCTGCTGAATATTACCTTATATCTTTTATTCATATTAAATATATTGTTCTTTCTCTAGCCTAAGCTTGTTCTTCATCAGGTATTGGTAGTTGTTACGATACCGTGAGTTGGTGTAGACGATGATGTGACTTCCACGTAAGATCTTATAGATTAGGCAGTTATATCATGACAAATCTACAATTTTAGGATTAGGTCTATTATTAGAGCAGTACTAATATCATAGTAGACCATAGTTCTACACCACAAACATTCTATCCTTGGATATTGTAATCAGAGATGATGAACCTTCAATCATAAATTGTGAATTCTTCATTACTGATTGTGAGCCATCTATCATGGGTCCAAAAAATTCAAGAATGCTCCAGGGACAGATTTCATAACTAGACAAAACATACAGACTAGGAAGTTTGTGTTCTCAAATGGCCTTATGATGAAGATCTTACTAAGATGGAGATGGCAGAAATTTTCAAAGCCAACTTCGCGGCCCAAGTGGACCGGGAACCTACAAGTACAGAACATTCCTCAACTCCAGTGCCAACTAATGGCCAGGGTGATATCTGACAAACTCCCAGGTTAGTACTAGGAAAGACTAAAGTCCTTGCTCCCAAGAAGGGACAGTATCGGACATATAATTCTGGAACAGTGTACAGAAGCCATTAGTACAACGGTATGCGACCTGTTCAAGCACTTTCCAGAATCATACCGGGTGAATGGGAACAGGCTACTCTCTCCGATCTTCATAGAAGGAGATAAAAGAGACTCAGCCTCCTACAGATCAGTAGCATTACTCCCAGTACTGTTGAGGGTGCTGGAAGGACTGAACAATGACCAAGTGGTCGAGTACATGAATAAAAAACAGCGTCCCCCATAAAATCCAACACAGGTTTAGAGGAAGCAGGTCATGTAGGTCCAGTCTCTCATAGTGAAGTTCAACCATGTTTGATGTGAGGCAGTTACCCACCGAAGATAATGGAAGATAGCTGAGTAACATCTTAAAATTGGTTGGAGTTAGGTATTACCAATGTTGGATCGTGGCTCAGTGGTCTGGAGGTTAAGCGTCCGTGCGTGGGATCGTGAATGTGCACTGCTCACCAGTCCCATACTGAAACAGAACGGTTGTCAAGTGCTCCCAGGTTTTCAGTGGTGCTCCAACATTGATTGGTTCATAATCTCAATAGATAAGAATTATAGTTAACTAGTCTCTATAGATATGTCATATGGGAAGATTGCCTCGATATTAAAATTTGATTAGTTTCAGCAAAATCCATTTGTAGCTACACGACTTGAGATAAGTATTTCGTCCTAACAAAAAAGGGAGAATAAAAACTAAATAACATCATGCCAGTTGACCAAGTTGATTACCTGACGTCAGTATGCCAGTGAATATTGCGTAACAGTATGTAATGAAAGGTAATGGAATCGAGTTGCAATGTAAAAAACAACACTAGGTTACACATACCTCAACCAACGGGTCTTATATAGAACAAAACATGTATCCAGAGTTTCACTGCTAGCCACAGTCCAGTTCTGGTAACATGTGGAATAACTGAGATGAAAAAGTCTCACTTCGAATTGTAGAATAAACAGCTAAGAAGATAACTCGCAATGGTTGAGTACGCTATACAGTTCATTACCTGATTACAAAAAATACAATCTACTGTTAAACTGAGTCGAACAAGCAGTATTTTGAACACAAACCATACAACATATCAAGCCTGTCTATCGTGTGATGAACAGATAGAGAGGTGGTTTAATAGCTAAGACATTGAACTACAAGATGGCACAATTCAATTTGCATCAACTTAGACGTCTAGGTACTTGTATCAATAGCCCCCACATAAATAGTGAAATACAGAGCCGATTACACGAGCCAATATTTGGTAGGTCGATTGGAACGATTACTGATTGGCGAAAAAAGAGGACTTTATTCTAATTATATATTTTCATACATGATCATGATAATTTGACCAGTTAAATTTCATAACTATTTGTTCGATACTAAATCTGAAAATAGAGTTTATCAATATCACAGCGGTTGAACGTGAATGAATTGTATCTAAATCCTATACGTTGTTTACACAAAATGTAGATGTACATATCTATACATACAAAGAAAAAAGTTAATCGAATTTTTACAAAAACGAATAACATGGACAACTTCAATTGATTTTTTGGTAAAAGCATAGTATATGGATAAGCCAATCAGGACCAAGGATGCGACCACCAGACATTTGTCTGAAATCCAGATATTCCGTACAAAGAGCAGTAGAAATACCTTTGTTACTACTTAGAACATCTTAAATAGTTACGAGTTACTTTATTTTACCATAGAGTAAAAACAATAACGTTTAATTTAACAGTTGTTCAATTCTGTCTCTGTAGATTACGAATAACAGACAAAAGAAAATTCAATTTGGTGGTACTATATTTTATTGAACTAATCAAACAATGCTTCTCGCATTTTTGCACGAAACTCATTTATCCATATGGCTATAATGTATTATGGTTGTAATAAAATCCGTACGTCTACACCTCCTGACCGAGAACAGTATGAGGCCTCTTTAAAATCTATTTGGATCCTTAGAGTTTGAAGAGAATAATCTTTGTCGATAAAGACGAATTTATATGACGTTCCTTTAATTTTTAGGTAATTTATTCTGTATATGTAAGTAGATCCACAAAATGTGTAAAGTCAATTTATCCTATGTGATATTATTGTTTTTCTCTTCATAAATTACCAATTTGCAAAAGCTGTTTTGTGATGGACTAAGAGTTAGTTGAAAATTTTTGGCAACTGTTTTAAGCTCGTTTTGTACATACTAACCCGTTTCTTCACACCACGATGTATTATTTCAAACAAAAAAACAATCGACGAGAAGATATGAAATAAAGAAGGTGGATGAGGGGGACAAGTACGAAAGCATAAGGTAAAACAGAATGTACACTTTTTCATATTTCGTAATGTTATTGTAATTTTTAGGTGAAACTGATAAATATTAGGTTTCTTTATTGGATTGTGCGTAACTCTGTATGTTGAAAATAATTGGTGTGATTTTATATAGAAAAGAAAAAAGAAAAAATGATATGGATAGCAAAACACAAACACCAATTGCTTAAGTTGATGAATTCAAGTTTATATATGGGTGTACGTGTGTACGTATACAGAGATACATATAGTTACACGTATAATAGATGTTTTAATTGTAAGCAGGCTAACTGTTATGTTGAGTTTTGCGCTCACGGATAAAAAGTAGTTTAATAAAAACAAACTTCTCTAAGAAGGAAAATACACAAATTTCTTTTGCAAACGAACTAGATAACTTTTTTCTCTAAAAAAAGAAGACATACTTGATGCTGAGCCGTTGCTAATGGTGAATAACAATAGAACATTTTTTAGATATGGTAAACGATAACTGGTACTGCTATAAATGGATCATGGTCAGTGGTATTGATAACTTCAAAGTTGTTTAACTACTTTGAACGGTCATTAAAAAATAGTGAGGTGGAAAATTATCACAACAATAGAAAAGATCTAGTTGTGCAATATTTTACTCATGTTTTTATGTATAACCGCATAGTTTGGTGTTGATGAGGAGGAATAAAAATATGACGAATCATATGCATGCATATTATGAAGGATGTATTGTATGGATTGATAGTGGAACAGAAAATGTTGATATTCCCTGACATTCTATAAATGTGTCTTTGTAAAGATTTGTTTTAAGAGTGATCAATCTAAATTGAACAAGCACCCATATTATGTATTTATATGGAGAAGAAAAACAAATGAAAGACTCAGAACAACAATTTTTCTTTTCACATGCTTAAACAAAAATGCTGCTGACGTGTTATGAATGACACATGGATTATTTAACATAAATCATAATTTAGAAACAAACAATAAAATGAATCAACAAGTGAAAAAATCATTTGGATGAACTTGTGTGCATATGTGCGAAAATTGTTCATGGAAATGTAAACATTACACACAGAAAACGAAAGTATTCTATAGGTATGCAATCTGAGTATAATGTTAGGAGTGAATAGGGAATAAAAAGGGAAATATCCTGAAGTATTTACATTTATACTCATTCAAACACCTAAAAACACCGAAATGCATGTTTATATATGCACACAAAGAGAGAGAACCAAGCTAAAATGAATGAATATCCAGTTTTAAGGTAATTGGTGCCACGAAATTAAATTGAAACATTTTCGAAAGAGTGATCAATGTCTAGTGAATTGCTATTTATTTGTTTATTTTAACGAAGCTCATTATTTTCGTTTTTTCTTTTAATAAACAATTAACTACTGAAGATAAATACATGAAATTAGGTAAGAGATAAAGAAATTAGGAAAGACCGGGATAACCGCCAAATGTATTGATATTTTTAAACATTGGTAGATTGAATAATTTGATTTTAGACAGAATGAAACCGGACAACTAAACACAAACAAACGGATTCCTGTATCGATTTCATAAGAAAGTCTGGTGACGAAAACTTACCACACTAGTAAAGGAATAAATCTTTCTTGTTATTTTTCACAAGTATTTTGTTGTTTTGATGTATGTTGACTTATTGTTTCCTCTTCTTCAAAAAAACTAAAATGATTAGTCAATTGACTGACTAGTTGTAGTAGAATTAGAAAAGCTGAGCTCTATGTTTTAAGTCATTACGTTTCCATTCCGGAAGACGATAAAATGCTGTTCGAGATAAAGCGAAAACCTGTTGAAATTCTTCATCGGATAAATGTGTCTGAAAAGTGACAACAATAGTGATGTTAATAACAAAGACTAATTAAAAGCGTGTGGTGGTGAAAGGGGGAAAAACAAAATTGATGTGTGGCCAGTGAAAGTTTAATTAACTTCTAAGTGTGAAAAAACAGGCATTCAGGTTACACTGACTACTAAATATGTGATTTTCTTTTCTGCTATATTGATTTATTCTCTGGGTTCATTAGATGTGGAATGCTTGTAATTGTGTGGAATAAAGTATTACTCTGGTTCTCTACCTTTGGTTGTGAATCGTGTATTTGATGTAACGTGGTTTAGTCAGTTGCATAGCGTATCGTTTAAGTATCCAGTCTAGCGTTAATGTACTCTGGGTAACCAGGTTTATCATCGTATTAACGAAGTATACCAGACAGAAAACAAGTTTAATTTTTCCATTATATCAAAAACGTATAATCAAGATTACTCAAGTGTGATTTATTCATAAGTATTAATACCGATCAGTCAGTCAGTCAGTAACAACGTAGAACTTCATACGTATGTACATCAGTTCGAGTTGCCACACCACATTAGCACAGAGATGCAGTGGTCGATTCAAATCCCGTAGTGATAGAGGTAATAAGAGTATGAGTGTTTGGAGATGTTACTTAAAGAGTATAATACAGTGAAATAAATTTGAGAGGAGAAAAAAAAGAGACAAGGAGGAATAAGGAGATCAAAATTTGGGAGAACACAAAGAGTGGATGCACCTGAGCCATTGCAAACGATTTTGAGCCATGTCATTCAGGGTCTCCAACCATCGGTTGCTAACATCTCGCGGTCCCCAACCAGGTAGTCTACACCTACCAACATGACTCAGTTCACTTGTCAGTGACTTCATGGACTTGTGCCATGTTTTGGTTTGGCCGCCTCTAGCTTTCTTCTAACCCACTCCTATACCACTTAACATAGCATGTCGAGGTAGTCGGTCGTTGGGCATACGTAACACGTGTCCCAGCCATCTCAACTGATGAAGTTTCACTACGTCATCAATTGATTTGCCATCCTTATCTAGTACACGTTTCCTAACAACTGCATTACTTACTCGATGGACCCAGGATATACGAGCAATGTTTCGAAGACACCTATGATCGAATACTAGTAACCTACGGATATCCTCTACTCTTACCGGCCATGTTTCACTGCCATAAAGTAGGACAGAACGAACTGCTGCTCAGTGAACACGTCCTTTGGTTAGCAGACGGATATCTCGCCTACGCCATAAATGACGCAAGTTGGTAAAAGCTAGTCAAGCCTTCTGTATCTGTGCCGAGATTTCGTCATACACCAGACCACAAGGGCTGATGAGACTTCCAAGATAAGTGAAGCGGTCGACATGCTCAATTACTTCACTCCCTATCACTAATTCGGGTGTCAACGCAACCCAATCCTGAAGCAACATTTTGCATTTCGAGGGAGAGAATCGCATCCCGAACATGATTGCATTGTTGCTTAGAGTGGTCAGAAGACTGTGCATTTTGTCAGCGTCTTCACTAAATAAAACTATGTCATCAGCATATTCTAAGTCAACAAGTGAACCTCCCGGTAGAAGTTCAACCCCTGGAAATTTACATGAGGAGAGTGTTATCTCTAAAAGTATGTCGACCACAAAGTTGAACAAGAATGAGGAGAGTGAACAGCCCTGACGAACACCACTTGAGGTAATCAATTCTGGTGACAGTTCGCCATAAGCTCTCACTCGACCAGTTGTGTTCGAGTAGAGAGCCTTTACAAGGTTAATGTACTTCTTTGGTACTCCTTTCAGTGACAAACACTGCCATAGAATCTCACGATCAACAGAGTCGAATGCCGCCTTAAGGTCGAGAAATACTACCATTGTGCGGCGTCTGAATGTGTGTCTGTGTACTAGAACCTGACGTAGTGTGAATATCTGATCTATACAACCACGTCCAGGTCGAAAACCGGCCTGGTTTTCTTTAATCTGCTCTTCACGAGCTTTGATTAGGCGTCGAAGTACTATTGAAGCTAATATTTTAGACACTATATTAGTCAAACTGATTCCTCTGTGATTGTCACAAGAGGACTTTTGTCCTTTCTTATAGACTGGCATAATCAGTGATTGAGACCAGTCAGACGGGATTACGTCCAGTTCCCAAATTCTACCTAAGACCTCAGTTAATCTCACTGCTAATACTGGACCACCATCCTTAAAAATCTCAGGAGTAAACCTGTCAGGGCCTGTTGCTCTCCCTCGTTTCAGATTTCCTATGGCTTTTTCAAATTCGTAAAGAGACGGAGGACCTACATTAACTTGCCATTCAGGTTGACTGGAGATCCTGGGAAACCGAAGTGTGGCTGAAGGCCAGTTGAACTGATCCCTAAAGTGTTCTGCCCATCGATCCAATCTCCTGGATTGAGAATGAATAATATGTCCATCTTTCTCTGAGATTGTTTCGCTAACAGTCGGTTTCCTAATACCGGTCTCCTTAACAAGTCTGAACAATTGTCTGCTATTACCTATTGCCGCTGCCTTTTCCATCTCTCTTGCTTTCGCTACCCACCACTGTTCGTGATCATTGCGTAGACTTCTTGTCAGCTTGCGCTTAAGCTGACCCCGCTCTTTATTATGTTCTGGGCCAGGTGGAATGAGTTTCCGAGCATCCATCAGTGCGATAGATGCTACCGAGATCCAGTGTTGCTCCCTAACCTTACGGTTCACCGTACTTGCAGATATCACTGCTGTTTCCACAGCTTTTCGGGTATCATTCCATGCTGCCTCGGGGTGGGCATCACATACATGGCTGCCTAACTGTTTTCCTAGTTGTTCCTGAAATATACTCTTAGCTTGACTATCATTAAGTAGGCGCCTAAGAGGTTTCCTTGCAGCGTCTTTCCTACGTCCAGTAAGACGCATACAAATACGCGCTCGCACTAGAGCATCATGTGAATCCAAGCATGTGCTCCACAACAAGCGTCAGTCTTCTATTGAGCCCCTCCATCGATGGCTGATAGCGATGTGATCTATTTGGGTCCAACGTTGGGACGAATTAGGGGGTCGCCATGTTAAAAGATGTTTTTCCTTATGCTTAAAATTAGTATTTGCAAGGAACAGGCGGTTATCTGAGCATAGCTGCAACAGACGGTCGCCATTATCTGTTCTTTGAGCCACGACACCATAAGATCCACCTAGGTGTCTTTCCCTTTCTCTTAGTTTACCTACTTGAGCATTAAAGTCACCGGCCACTATTACTACATCCGAGCGCTTAGCTTTTCGGAGAAGGTCCGAAAGCTTTCTGTAAAACTCATCTTTTACATCATCTGAGCTGCAGTCAGTGGGAGAATAGGCAGAGACGACGAAGAGGCAACGACGAGTGTCCCTATCTTTCCGGATTCTTACTGTTCCGTTCAGTCGGACAGCGCACAAACGACTGTCTACTGGGATCCACTCTAAGAGGGCTAGTTCTGCCCTAGGACTCAATGCTATACCTACACCAGCGAGGCCACGGGAAGCAGAATCAGGGCTTCCAGATACACGAAGCGTAAATCGAGTCGGTTCTTTATTTTGGCATGGTGAGGTCAAATGAATGACGCTACTCGGATCCTGTATGCGCGTTTCGGAGACGCAGAACACATCGATGGCGCGAGATTCTAAAGTCCCAGCTAAAGAAGCCTGTTGTCCTATTTGGCAAAGTGTTCGTACGTTAAAAGCTCCTACGTGCAGTTTAGAGTGTGGTTTCGGGAGACCAGGAATAGCGTTCCACGTACTCGAATCGTTTGCCCTAGCGAGGCGAGGTGATAAAGAGACGTGAGAAGGGTTAGTCATGGAGATAAGAGAGGTATTAGGAGGTGTAGGAAGGATTTGAATGTGACCAACTTGGTCTCGTGTGCTGTTACGAGTATGAGGGCTGATGTCACTTCCCGGCTGCCCACACCGTGGAAGGGTATTTCTTGAGGAACCTGAAAAGGAAATTGGATTAGTGTTGGTCTTAAAGACCCGGGAGCGTGACCGCAGAGCCCAAGGGACAACTACTTGAGGCCGGTCGCGCACGGCCTTTTTGTGGAAGGTTTTTGACGTGTTAGCTCCGTTCTTCAAAGGGCCTTACCGCCGGAGACGGAAATCCCTGAGGTAAGATGAGGTGTGACATTTTTAGGGTCGACCTTAGCTAACCCCACCCCTCCTTGTGGGAAGGCAGCATCGCCGCAGATGCTGGTTGTTCGAGGGAAACACCTTATTGCTGTCACACCCCTCTACAGTCAGCAGTACGACTTCGCCCTCAGACCTTGGGTTTCTGCTTTTAGTCTTACCGTTCTCCAATCGACCTGCCTGGCATGGTAGAACCTACAGGAACATATGTTCCAGCCAATATAGCTCGGTTGGGTCATCACGATAGGCAAGCCCGACCACCGCGTCAACGTAGCAGCTTCGGTCGGGATTAATGCCGATAATCATCAGATGTACAGTCGACGAAGTTAGGCTGAACAAATTAATTTAATATTAGTCAAATATATGATATAACTCCGCCTGTAGCTCTTCTAGAGTTACTGCCGGTCCCAAGCCCGGGTAAAGGAGGAGGGTTGGGTATGGGGTTAGCGACCCCATCCCGTAGAAAAATAACTCGCCAAAAAAACGCTAACCAGAAAAAAAATCAAACCGTTTAAACTCTGCCCTGAAAGTTAGGTCTTCATTCAGAAGAATTATGACGCTTCATAGTGAAAGCCGAGTTCCTTCGGAAGCCACGAGGCCGATGCCCCTTCTAACAACCAGATCAACAATTTTTATAGGTACATGGAACGTCCGAACAATGTGGGAGACCGGGAAGACCAGTCAAATGGCAACGGAAATGAGGAGATACAACTTGGCAGTACTGGGAATCAGCGAAACCCATTGGACCCAAGCTGGACAACAAAGGTTAAATACGGGAGAGATGCTGCTATACTCCGGCCACGAAGAGGAAAATGCTCCACACACTCAGGGAGTTGTTCTAACGCTGTCCAAAGTAGCACGAAATGCACTTGTAGGATGGG